GTATACGGATCGTTACGAGGCGGCGATTTTATATGCTTACAAGTATATAAGGAGAGCGCGCGCCGATATGCCAGAACGATTTCCTGGTGACGCCGTTTCGATAGCGGCGGTTCCGGTTGCTCCGGGTGCCACGTTGCGTAAATACACTACGAATATGAGACACTAATAAATTACGCCCTGCCCGGAGTTCCGGATTCAAAGACCGCCGCGGTATAAAATAATCACTCGCCGCAGGTGCGCGGTGCGCGTAGTCTCCGATCAATTTTCGCAACGTCTTTTCGTCGAGGAGCTGCCTTTCCATCACAGCTGCGATATCACCTCACGCGTTCGCCGCGGAAAAAAAAATTATTATACAAATACTATTTCACTTGCAATATGACTTGCGTAAAAAGTAAAAAGACTTACGAGAGAGGTGTTTGATTCTTTAGCGAACGACTGCCTGTCATTTCTTTTATCACAGAGTTGCAGAGTATAGTTGAGTCCGCGATTTCGCATCGTTCAATGGTGCAAATCGCGCCTACATTCTACCCGCACCCTTTCGTGAGAAATTTATTTGACCGTCTCTCTCTCTCTCTCTCTCTCTCTCTCTCTCTCTCTCTCTCTCTCTCTCTCTCTTTCACACACACTCTCTCACTTACAAAAAGAGTGACATCGACAACTGCAGTTTCTTGCAAAACAGCTGCTGTAAAAAAGTTTCGCAATTTTTTATTACACCGAACCCGGTACTTCTCATTTATTTTCCATTATCGAGAATGTATAAAGAGGTGTTTGCCTTTAACTCTGTCAACAAATTCTGTTTGTAGCTCGATATCAAGGAAAAGGCCTTGGATAAAAAGGTCTTCAAGAATGTTAATGGAAAATAAAATTAGAAGAAGTTAGTGAACACGAAATTGAAAAATAGAGAAAATATATGTCGATATATTCAATTATCTCAATTGTAGATATTAATATTATAATATTGCTTAGATATAGTAGAAAATGTGTTTTGTATACAACACGAGGCGTGGCGTGTGGTCGTGTTACAATTAGCAACCAATGCAATCGTGAAACGTGAGATGTTCGTGTAATTAGCGATCAGAGATTTCAGTGAAACGCGAATCAGCGCTACACGTTGGATACATGTTTAGCAACCGTAAAAGGCAGCAACGCACTTTGTGTCACTTTAGCAATCGCGACGCATCATTTGAGAATTTCTAGGTCGGCACGCGACATTTATTGTGTGCCGGGTGCAACGTTCTCGCGTTCACCTGGTCGCGGTGCGTTATATTCCACAAGCACACTCCTAGAACGTATTATTTGACGATACGCCGTACTGACTAACGCACTAGAATGTCGCTGGCCGCAGAGATACCTGATTGCATTATATTTCGCAGGTAATTCCACTTCCATCGTCAAATGTCAGCGACGCGATGGAAAATTGCGTTACTGTGTGAATTTCTTATGTAACGTCGGGATATATGTACACACAAGGTAGTTGAAACGTGTTTCAGGACAAATTCACCTTCTCAACCTGCGTAACAATTAATCCAAACGTGGATTCAATCCGGAATTTTGCAAATAGTCGTCATTAAAAATTAGATAACGAAAGATTGATCAATGAAAAAGTCCCTGAAAATATTCTATATTCAAAAATATTCATTATTTCTCATTCCTCGAAACGGATCGCCCCAATCGGAGATTGGAACAACGGTTGAAGGTAAGATTTTGGACCATCCCGCGGGCAAGGACAGCGACCTCGCTTTCAAGGTCGCGAGTGAAGGATTTCGAGGTCGACTGCCGCGTTGACGACAGCCAGAGAGAAAGAGAGAGAACGGGATCGGAATCTCCGTGTTGAAATTGATTCCCCTGACGTCAGTCCGCCGCGTACGCGTCCTTCTGCATCCGTGCGGTCGAGGACGTTCGTATCCCGTTCAAATCCACCTCTTTCCTTCGTTCCGGCATTTCCCGGCGACCTTCGCGACCGAATACTTCGGTTGTGGCCGATGCTTTCGATCAATGCCGCCAGGAAGACAAACGTGTCTTGCGCCGCGAAATGCGTAATTATACGTGCGTGTGTAAATTGCACCCGTGTCTCTCTGTCATGCAATTTGGTTCGAGCGCGACTTGCGCTTGCAGGTCTAAATAATAAACGTTCTCCATATTCGCGAAACTCTTGTAGGAACATTACGTAATAGGAGGATCTAAACCGGACGTACTTTCCTTGCAAGAAGAAATTAAATTGCACGGAGAGTCAAGCCAACAGTTATCATACGTTTTTAGGCTCGTAAACCTCATAAGTGCATTAACTCACGCTATACCGCATAAAACTCGTCGCCATTATCCCGGGCATCGCGAATTAACCGGGCGGAAGGGGGGTAGCAATTAATTTCCCTCGTATATCCCGCTCATTCCGCGCGGTTGCGCGCTCACTTAATTAGTCGCATTCTCTGGAAATCAATCTGGCATTCTCGATCTCTCCTTCCCAGCGATCAAAAGCGAGATCTCTCCCTCATTTTTCCCACTCCGGTTACCTAATTTTTAATCGCCGCGACTATAATGCACGCTCGCGCGCCCAGTATTCAGACAAATTCGTTATTGCTCGTCATAGAGCGCATACCCGCCGATGATTGCGCAATGGTTTCCTACATGCGTATGGGAAGCAGACGTCTGCATTCAGAACGCTACTCGGACATGCTCGAAGCACCCACGCGTGGCCGCGCGCACCACACGTCGCGATTCGCGTTCGCGTCGCGCGCAAACGCTGGCGTGGCTTCTGGAAAGCAAAAAACTGTCAAGCAATAACGATAATAACTCTTTTGTCCCGCGTTTGCGTCGCGTGACTAAAAATCCAGCCGTGTCCGGCTCGCGTCCCATCCGAGACAACGCGGAAAACGTTGGAAAACGCGGACGTGTGCGCACATCTCCGAGCGCTGTTTCACCTCGCTTTCACGATGCTCCATCCGTCGCGCGCCGGTCACACTGTCAAATTCGTAGTGTCAAATCATACCCAATTTGAGTCAGTTTTAACCATTCCTATAGGTCGCCCCACTGCTTTTGCTCAATATGTTAATTTAACTAAACCAATGGAGTTAAAATAATACTGTTTTGTGTTAAGACAATAAATTTCGACACACATGGCAGTTAAAAATAACAAAATGTTATTTAACTTAAGGTATTGGTTTAAATTTTATTCTTTATAATATTTAACGGTGTAATCGGCTCCGTCATTGGTAATTTTACGCTTTTTGTTTCTTTTTTTAAATCTTTTTTCTGTCTCATTTTTCCGCCGATGATTGAGGAATGGAACGCGCTTCCGACAACGCCGATTATCCATTCTTCGGCCACGGTTGCACGTTTTCTCATTAAGTCGCAATTATCCCGGTTTCCAGGGGCGCTTATTAATCAACCCGGGCTCTATAATCAGAGGGAAAACCTCGCCGTGAAAGACCCCAGAGGCTCTCTCGCGAGCTTCCTCTTGCGAGAGAGGCACGGATTGCGAAACCCGGGCAACGCGAGATGCGCGTCGCGCGTACATATATACCGCCTCGCTGTTTTTCCTCGTGCGTGTCGTTTTGCGTGCTTACGTTGCGTTCGGGAAAATTAATGCCTCCGCATTGTTGCGGCTTCTCCACGCGCGACGCATTTTCTATGTCTTTCACGTTCTCCACCTTACCACGCCGATATCCTTGCCGAGACTGTCGTGAGAGCGTTTCTCCAAGCGAGTCAGTTACCGTCCTTTCGAGCCAGGGCGGTCCGGTAAACACGTTCGGACGTTATAGCAGAGTTCGCTCGATATAGCCACGTTGTGCGTGAGTGCAAGGTCGACCAAAAATCCGGCTACTTTTTCCGTTGCACAACCCACAGCCGCATTTATCGCGCTCGTGTTTCAACACGCGAGTAGGACAAGCGGTACACGATGATATACGGCGAGCAATCATGTCAAGCTCGTTCGAAGCTGAAAATGTTTACGACATTTCATGGCCCGACTCGCCCCACGTCGGAATAAATAGATTGTAATCATAATTTACACCAACACGTTGACGCACGCTTTGTTCGTGTAATTAATGAATCTACATTTACGTCGTGCTCTCAGCTTCTGAAATCATTGGCTCATGCATAACGTGGAGTTTAATTCTTAAAGAGGGATGAAATTTCAAGTTGAAGTATGAATCAAACATGAAAACGTTAATAAAAACCGTTTTGTTTGAATAAAATATATTTACTTAAGAGCTTAATAAGTTTATTAATTGATTATTACCTAAATGTGTATCAATTTTACAAAGTAATGTACTTTAAAAGAAATTTATTTTTAGAAAGTAGGGTAAACTTAGGTAAGATGACCATATATAGAGGAAAGATGGCACACCCATGTTCATTCCATATTTCATGACGAGCTAGATTGAGAGAACATGGGGGTTGGCTATCTTTCCTTTATGGCCATCTTACCCGAGTTTATCCTATAAATTTTATTGAAATGCGTTATATGTATTATGTCATATGTAAAATGAAAAAACTTGTACAAAATTAACGAAAGTTTATATCTTGCACGGTAATCCGGCCGCAAGGAGCAACAATAACTTTTGCCAATCTTAAAACAAACGTTGTCGGTTTTATATATCCGTATGAGGCCTATTAATCCGCACTATGTTCCTATATGACTTTCTTTGTTCTACCGTTTCGCAATGCGGGCTGCATAAAAATGTTATTTCGCAATTCCATGGAGATCTAGGATCGGATAGACTATGCCAGAGGCCGTATAGGCTTCGATAGGATCAGACGCATGTCCGATTCGGATATGCATTGTATAATCGGATAGAGACCCGCGGGGGATTTAAGACGCGAATTTTGATCTGACGATAATTCATTTGTGATTCGGCAAAAGATAGGAGACCTTGCTGGTCTTTAACGAGGTTACTGATATCAAATTAATTAAGTCCTCTGATACGTTGTATACGCTGAAGGATTGAACAACCTGCGGATGTTTTAGACTTTAGATTGAAAGGCATTTCTTTTTGTTCCAGGATGTCAACGGATTACTCCGAGAAGCGCGAGAGCCAGCAGAAATGAGGCAGTCCTGGAATTTGAGTGCCCCGAAGAATTTGGATACTATCCCCATCCGCGTGACTGCACGCAGTATTATGTGTGCGTTTTCGGCGGCGCCTTGCTGGAGTCCTGCACGGGAGGCCTCATGTACAGGTACGCGAGGCTAGAAGCACGAATATGCTAGAAAAAAAATAGCGAAAGGGAAAAATCAAGTCCGTATTTAGAAAACCGTGGACTCGACATTTCATTATGGAAAGAACGTTTTTTTTTTTTTTTTTTTTTTTATTAATACTTAGCGTGGATAAATCAAACGCGTCTCGTCTTTGTTCCGCTCCGATTTGCGAAAGGAAATCTCGTGGAAAATCTATGATTCTAAAAATAATATTGATATTGCCGCAGCAACGTTAACGTTTAGTGTCGGGACACTAAAAATCCCGCGTGTAAGCGTTCGCGAGTTCTAAGATTACGTGCGAGATAATAGAAGATGGTCGACGTGAGGAATTCTTTTACTCGTTACCGGAGTTTCTGCCGGCAGGCGCGGGGGTCGACGACCGCGTTTGCGATCACCTTCGCGGAGTGCGTTCTCCAAGAGAGAAAAGAGAGGAAAAAAAGCAACGCACCGTGGAAACGACTCCGCGCCAGTCCTGACGACCGCGACCGATCCGGCTAATACGGTCGCGGATTAGCGAAGTTAAGTGAAATTAGGCGAACGGAGCGTTAATGGATGCGCCGAATCGGGCGTACGCGCGTGCAATCGTCGAGCGGGCGTATATATATGAGGGGGCCGGATGCGCGCGACCCGTCCCGCGCTCCCAGAGTTGCATTACGAGATTCGTGAGAGATTTCGCGTTGCCGCGCGTACGGAATCGCACTTTCCCGCGAGCGCGCAGCGCCGCGGATCGAAAATTCGACGCGCCGCGGAAAATGTATTCCTCGGGGTATATATCCTCCAAGAATGGAGTTTAAACGAATAGCGTGAAGCTAGTTTATCAAACCACGAGTTAGAGATGCAACTCACGTGTCTCGACACGTAATGCCCGTTCTAGACTGGAGGATGAGCCGACTCTCGGCTCATCCGAGTGAGTGGTGTAGACGGGTAAAAATCTATAGGTTATGTATAGTTTATGTCACGTACACTATAGAAGGCGGATGAGCCGAGAGTCGGCTCATCCTCCAGTCTAGAACCGGCATAAGAACGCGAATGTCATCTCGTTATCAGCTCTCTTATGTCTTACACGAGACCCGAGAGGCCGATATTCGACCGACCGCGATGAATTACTTTCAATTCGCCGTCTGGATTTGCACGGTAAAAGGGGGTCGTACGCGTAACCCTGGAGAAAAGGAAAAAAATCGATCCAGCCACACCTCGCCCGATACGAGCGAGCGTGAACGAGTTCGCCGCGCCGAAGCCCAAGGTGCTTAATGGTAACGCGATATCCAAGTACGGGTGAGATCGAGACGGCCGGCGCGGCGGTTCCAGGAGCGACGCGCCAAACGCGGCTCTCTCGATGACAGACGGGTCTGGGGTCCGGAATTCTCGGGAAACGCTCGTTCTCGAGTCTTGCATGAGTCGTTTGGACATTTTACCACTTAATTACGATTTCATTATACGGATTGTACGTGCGATGGAAAGCTTGGCGGATGATTGGATCTAGGAATTATAATCTCAGAATTGCCTTGATAATTCTTAGGTGTCATAATGCTATTTAAATATCATTTATCCCGCTGGAGCAACCGCAAGAACATTCGCGTTAATTCGAAAATAAAAGCTTTGCACTTTACGTCGTATATGTATGTCGTGCGTTTACTTACGGTGTTTTTACTTACGGCGAGTAAATGAGCCTTAATTAGCGTGACGCGTAAGTAGCGGAAGAGAACTGTGTATAGGATAATTTTCGCGTAACCGAGGGAAAAATGTCAAGTTGTGTATAAAGAAACGTAATGTGAAATAAGCGAAGTGGGAAGCGATACGTCTCTCGCGTTAGTGCAAATGTAATTTTAATGATACGACGGACTTCGACGAGAACTCGCGTGTTCGGCCAGTAACACCGTAGTATCTAATGAACATTAACGATCCGATACTGAGAAATCCGAATTAATTTTTTGCCTTCTTTCTCCAGCCACGACTTGCAGACATGTGACTGGCCGCGAAACGTAGGCTGCCCGGAGGGACATTCGTCCAACAAGGAGGCCGAGGAGGATCCCCTTTTGGAGAGGTGAGTTATTGTGATTATTTCGATATCTCACATTCGACGGAATACCTTGAAAAATATTTCCGCAGCGTAATTTTCAATTATGTACGTCAATAATTATAAATTCGCATTAATATAACGTTCTACAAATTTTTGGGAATACATTTTACTATAAGATTGTCTTTACCACTGGCATTATTTTATTTTATTTCCTCGCTGTACATGCCATGTTGCAATAAGTACATGGATCGTCGCGTACACAAAGTGTTTCTTATTTTTTTGCAAAGTGTGTCTCGCTACAAAAACGATATGAGTAGTAGAGCATTGCATTCCACACGTGAGATTTAGTTTTCGTCGCGATTGCAAAACAATAGTGTGCTCGCGCAGGCACATATACGCGCGTTCGCTAGCTTCACCCACGCTCGCGACAACCGATGGGAGAAAAAGGCGAGAGTGAGAGTGAAAAGAAAGAGAAACAGCGGTCGATTAAGGCGACTAGAGTAGATGGCGAGCGCGGAGGAGACTCGCGGGGAGAGCCATTAGTTTCGATAGAACAACCTCGCGATCGCGTTTTCTCGGCTGCGGACGCGTCGAATAATCTCGCGCGCAATACTCGAACGCGCACTCTCGATTCAATGTGGCAAAAGAGATATATCGGCGGTATTATGCGCCGATAAAAAAAAATAACGTACGCTCGAACGACAGGCGCGTTGTTAGAGGCCACTTCGTTCCGCCTGTAAACCCTTACGGACTCACTTTCGTTTCTTATTATTATTTCTCTCCAACATAAATTACTCCAATTTAAAATTTAATTGTTGCGATTAAAATAAACGCCGCGAATCCGTTCGAGCGGGCTTGTTACATTTCAGAAAATAATACCGCCGAGTCATTGCTTTTTCGTTACTCATTGTTGTTCATCGTGGCTATTAAAACGCGTGCGAAAACTGAAAAACGTATATAAGGTATACAGATGACATTTTTATTATCCTCGAGCAGACGAAAGTTCAAGGAAAGTAAAACGGGCCGAGCAAGCCGAGCAGTACGTAGTGTATACGTGTTAAAATTAATTAATTTGCCTCGTTTGTTGCATGCGTAAATAAAAACGTGTACGTATTTGTATGCGAGATCGGATCTTTTCGAGCAAGAACGACAGCCGGGTCTCTCCGTTACATAAAACCGAAGTTGGGCAACGCGCAGACTGGATACTCATTAATTGTATTGTGCACGAGCAATCGGGAAAGAGTTTCTCAACGATTCGCTTCGTCGCGAATTCCGGGTGTCCTTGCCATTAAAAAAAAAATCCTTAGGAAGACAATTCCGCGGTTACATATATTATCGCCGATGTGCGACGTCTCCCGAGAATTTTTAGCGCGTCTAGACTGTCTCACGGTTAGTCTCCCAAACGGCATAGAAACGAAAGCGGATACTTGAAATTCTGAACATTGCTTCCTCGACTGGATATATTTATTATATTCTCTTGTGTTATTTCTATGCGACTCTTGTACGGAAATGTAGGCCCGCTCGCTTACCAGATATTTGTATGCGATTGCCAGCATTAGTATTACGTGCGATTCTCCGTGTGTTGATATTATAAAACATTCAGTAAAAAGAAGAAATCTCGTTGGTGCATAACTTTGCTTTCCTAAAAAATGAATTTTATCCTCGCGACCAAATCGGCGATTGCACTTAAAATCGAACCGTCACAATCCGTAGATCCGCGAAACTCGAGACGCTCCAGGAACAGCAACAGCAACAACGGCAACAACAGCAGCAATTACGAGATCAGCAGCAACAGCAGCAGCAGCAACGACCGATCCAGAGGCAGCCGATCTCGGTTACAACCGCGTCGCCGCCGGTCTCGCAGATCACCGAGAGGCAACTGAGACAGCGACAGCACTCGAGGACCAATTACCATGAGGATGAGTACGGTCCCGCCTCGGAGGTCGAGAACGATCGGCAGCAACGGGTGTACCGGGGACAACCTTCGACGATCGGCCAGGTGCAGCGCGACCGCGATGGTCTACGACGGAATATAATATCGGTGAGTCGCCATACCGTTGATGTTTTTTTATTAATTAGCTTAATTATCTTAAGCTGGCTCAATTAATTCTATATAATCATTATCTAAATAATATCAAAAAATACACATTTTAATAAATAATTTTCTTCTTGAAAGAACATATTTTCTAATTAATCAGAATATAGATTAAAATAATTATAAACAATTAAACAAGTATAGCTAAATAGTTTTAGTAATAATGGACGTGTCATAATGCCATTCAATATTGCAGTTCGTGGTTCAATCACATAAATGAATACAGAGTTATTGACGGTTCTTTTTGAGAGAAAACGCAAATAGAAAGTTACATTGAATAGGCGACGGACGCGTCCGTTTAACGTCGAATGTGAATTTAATCAATTAGCAACGAATGCGGCAATTCAAGGTTACCATTGAGTTGATGGTGTCGCGTGTGTTCTAGGAGAGGGAGAAGGACAGTCTGGTAAGCGCACGTGCCCAAGCCGAATCTCATTACAGGTTAGTAACGAAGTTACAAATCACTCTTGAGAAAAGAAAATGGTTTTCGTCGCGATTAAGTAAGACTTCTTAATTTGATGACCGTGATTTCTCTCTGCGAAACTTTAACATCCCTCGTTAACGCAGCAATCAACCATCTTTCCGATGATATCTCTCTCTTAATTGAAATTTTACGTAATAAAATGATATCTTGATACGCTTCACATTTCATCGTAAAAGCAATTGAAAACAGACTTCCGTTGCGTTTACCCTTTTGCCACGCTAATTTCTCTTCACACTTTAGAACGTCTGTTCCAACCACCGAGTCGTCGAGGCTTGCTAAAACACTGGCCTCGACCGTGGCACCGGTCTTGTCCAAGGCTTATTACAGCGATCCAGATCAGAGTTATCCGTATTACACGATTTACGACGACGACGTTTCTATTTATAAAGACGATGGTAGGCAACCTTCTGAATTACTTTTTTAAAATCTCGAACAATGTCTATATAAAGTAATTTTGTACTGTTCCGAATATTTGTTATTTGTGTTTCAAGGTCTGTGTACCTTGGACAAAACGCAAAACTTGAAAAATTGTGACTTTAAATGAAATCTTTTGTTACGATTTAACCTGCATTTCATTATTTTCAAGTCAATTTTTTAAAATTAGTTTTGATTGATAATAGATGTTAAATATATGTCAGATAGAACGAATAACGTTGAAAAATAGCGATAACTGAATTAACTACCTTAATTTTTTGCAAACACATTAATGCGATCTCCAATGACCTTATATTATTTTACGTAGATTACAATCAATATACCATCAATCAATCAGTGCCAGTACAACAACCAAACGTGAAAATTAGCGAGGTGAACACGAAGCAATATCAGAAGCCGAAGAAGGTCGGCGTGAACGAGGCGGACAAGTATAATCTGAATCACGACGTGCAAGACTACGATATCTACGAGAATCAGGTGTGAATACATGTCCCACGCAACAGATTAAACAATATTATTAAAATTGTTTCACCTTTATAAGAAGGGCAGAGACCTTCATTTTGCATGCATCTAAAAATGATGTCTTTTTTTTTCATATTTTAGGCGCAGCTGAACAAGAACAAGTTCCGCATTTCCGATGGTCAACAGTACAGGTAAGAAAATTGCTTCTTTCTTAATTGTCAATATATCATATGTCAATATCACAATGAGAGATTCAAATGTGATTTTATCCCATAATTGATATTTATGTAATGATGTAATGATTGTTAGAATTGCGTTTAAATGTAATTATTGTTGAGTTTTATTGGAAAATTATCGCATTACGTTTCTCTCCAAGACTAAATTAATTCTGATTAAATTGAATCCTGTGTTCTTTTGTGACACAACAATATACGCATTTAATGTACAAATTAATAATGTGCAAAGGATAATGTATCTCTTAAACACGCTGTTATTTTAAGAAATTATTTCTCTCGTGTCTACCGCGTCCTCGCTGATGGATGCACCTCTCTCGAGCAATTTATCATCTCAAGTATCGATGTTGACGCGATCGCGCGAGGTTGTCGCGTCTAATCACCATTTAAAAATAGTCACCGTGCGTGCGAGAGCATCGAGTCGATTCAAGACCCGTCCCGCCGGTTTTTATCCGGATAACGGGACGGATCTGGACGGATGTCAAGGTGGAGATTCGCAGTTACGCGACGTCACGATTCGATTAATTCCATTTGCAGGACGAACGTGCTCAGCCATCCCGTGGTTCACGTGACGACGCCGAATGTTATCGTGGACACCTTTATACCGCTGACCACGAGCACGCAGACTCCCAGCACGACCAACAGACCTTACACCGTCAACGCACCGAGGTATAACGCTCGGACTTAATTAACTTTTGCTCGCGATAAGCGTGTAGCTTTAAATGGCGTAAAATATGTTCAAATTTATCACAACTACATCTGCGACGTAAAAGGACGAACAAATCTCGGAGAGCTCATAAATATTATCTCGGCCTTCAATATGAAATCATAAAAGGTGATTTGTTTCCATTCGAAAGCCGAAATTTATCCGTCTCGTATGTGCTTTACGAAGGCTGCCTGGCCAACTCTTTTTACCGTGTTCCGAATAACTTTTCGGGTTACACCGCGCGATTCCGAGGACGCTATTTATGTCGGACAGATTTAAATATCTTGGTCGAGTAGAGCCGCGGAATAATTTTCTTTAATCGTCATACCGGGCTTGCGCATGGCGCGACGCACGAAAAGGACGTCCCTGTGCCGATTTCCGTCGGCCGAGACCCGATTTCGCCGGGCTCTCGGCAAAACGAAGAGCCCTCGCTTTCTCCGCGACGCGGTAAACGTGCGATTTTCCTTATTCACCGCCGCCGGAAATCCTCCAGATCTTATCTTATACTCCAATTTTCATCCTCTTCTCTTCTCTTTCCAGCCGAGGTCGGCCGCAGCAGATCCATCGGGGCACGGCGCCGCCGTAAGTTCATTGTCAATTCACTTTCTTCAACGGGGCATGGTTTAGCTGATGTATAACTCGTGCCACTCCATAAATCCGCGAGCGTATCATGATGATACGCAGCACACCGAGCGCTACTCACTTTCAGTTCGGTTTCTTAAACGCGGAACAGTATTATCCGACGATTTCTTTTTAACGCCGATTTAATCCTTTCGATTCTAATTAATTCACTTCCAGGCGATCTCGACCCACCTTGAAGCCGTCCACCGAGATAGTCTCGAAGGCGCAGGAGTTCGTTGACATCTACAGGTATCCTCCAGTGAGACCGGCGCCGATCTATCCGACGCCGCAGGTAGACAAACCGGCGGCCAAGTGCCGTAGGGACGTTTGTTTGCTTCCGGACTGCAGCTGCGGCGGCTCCGATATACCAGGTAATTTAGCGACGCAGTGATAATCAGTCTTATTACCGTAAAAACCACGCAGTGTGATTCGTTAAACCTACTCTAGATACGTTCAGCCTTGATTGTAATGAGATACCTTTATGTGTCCAGAACGCAAAATTACGTGGTTTAAACACATAAAAAAAGAAACGTCAAATATAAAAACTTATGTACTCGTATATACGCAATAATCTACAAACTTTTAACTTTATTCAAGCAAGTTTTCTTCGCGGGCGCGTTTAACGCAATATATACCTCATTTCAAGATTATATATAGATTGTTGCGTATATACGAGTATTATAAGTCTTGATTTGACACTTCTTTCTTTTCTGTAAAGTCGCGGCTAAAGTAAACTAGTAACTGCATGAAATTTGCATCCCCGAAGGATGCTACGAACTGCTTAAATTTTCGTTTTCAAAACAATCAGTTTGATCATTGCGGTATCACTTAAGTAGACCGGAAATGACGTTTTGCGAACTAGAGAAACACGAGACGGAAAAGTTTGCATTCCGCGTGCCGGAAGTCTGGGCGCTTGCCGGCTGAATGTAAATGAGGAAGTGGGACGTCTTGGAAAGCAGATCTCGTACGAAGGTCGCCGAATTTCGTCGCTTTCCGACGCGACGGTGGACGGCCGATCGGGGCGCGGGGGACCGTGACGGAGGCGCGATTCGATCGCGGGCGAAATTGTCAGGGCGAAAAATCCGCGGGGGATTGCGCAAGGCGGTCGCGCGCCGCGAATGTTAAGTTTGACGAACGGTTTAGACGGCCTCGCCGTGACTTTCTCCGATTCTCTAACGTTACATACGTAGCGACCGTTACATAGCACGCTCGAAAGTGAAACAGATCTACGCTCGATACGCTCGCGGCGCGCGTCGCCCTTCGAAATTGAAAGCAATTTGCATTGCCGGAAGGCGCTCGTCGGACGGCCAATCGATCCCCGATTACTTTATTTACCGGCATAAAATGCGACCGTAAAATTTCGATATCGTTATACGCGGATCGTTTAGTGTCGCCTCACTTTCGCCCGGCGAGATAACTTCTGCAGAACGTTTCTTTGCATCTCGAAGATAAAGGGAGCGCGTGTTACGATCTCGCTGCTGGTACTTTTAATTCGGATTTCTTCGAAATTTTCAATGCCTAATAGAGAACACTTTTAATGTCTGAGAACTAACTTATAAAATTCTTGCAAAAGAATTACTGTTTGAACAAGACTATTCAACTTTCATGCGAAGTAATATTATTTTTTTTATATTTAATCAAGATCTTGGTACGCAAGCGTTGTTAATTTTATATAAATAGTGCATTTGAAATTAATAAGAAAGAAAGGATGTTAAAATATGATCACGCATTAGCGAATGCCTGCTACCTGATCCAGTAGACTGTTTCCAAGGTAACACCTTGTTGAAATCGACAGTATAGTGTTTCGATCTTTAGAAAAGACGTGATTGCGCTAAGCGTTATAGAAATATTATTTCTTGATCCCGTTGAGGAATGACGCAGCTTCGGCAATCGTATCGCGAGCTACATAATGCAACTGTGACGCACAGGTGGTATTCCGAACGAGCAGACGCCGCAGATAGTTCTGCTCACTTTCGACGACGCTGTAAACGACCTTAACAAACCCTTGTACAGCGAGCTGTTCGAAAACGGCCGTAAGAATCCGAACGGCTGTCCGATCGCGGCGACTTTTTACGTCTCGCACGAATGGACAGACTATAGCCAGGTGCAAAATCTCTATGCGGACGGCCACGAAATGGCCTCTCACACGGTCTCGTAAGTCGATAATAAAAAAAAAAACGTATCACGAAAGCAGGCGCGGGTTTCATTAACACCGGGGAATTTCACACATCCATCGCGCTATTTTTAACCAAAGGAGCGAAGCTCGCATCGAACGTCATTCATCGTCTGTTTCTCCGTTCGCCACGTGTGTACGATTAACGTACTGATTTCTACTTGTCGCCCGTCCACTCGACCGCCTGGAGAACGCTTCGAGCGGGCATTGAATTGGGAAATGATTTGCCCGCGAAGGATCCTCTAATTCGGTGCGGTTGGATTAGTAATTGAACTCCGCCGATTTCACGGGAGATTTAATTCTTGAATTTCTTGATTATTAGGGATATACTTAAAAGAATCTCTTCGACTTCCTTGAATTTTTTTAAATTCTAGAATCCACGAGCTCTTCAGCTTCATTTAATATTTAAACTGTCGTTAGAAAGGAGAGATTTTGGGTTTTTTTTTTTAACTTCAAGTACTGCGATTTAATAAATCTTTGTGTCCTCGGGGTCTTTAGATCCTTAAGTAGTTTTCAAAGATCGGCCGCGTAAATCGCTCGCGAACTTCTGCCTGCTATTTTAAGAAGCACTCTGTGCATCTTCGAAAGTGGCATCGCGCAATTAGAGGATCCTCCGTGGGGACGATGAAAACGCATATTATTGCCGCGTACGACCGGTGAAACCGCAAGTGTACCTTCATCAAATACGAGATCGACGATCTCTCGAACGAGGGATCGCCGGGTCCGATAGTAATACGCCGTAAACCGCGGTTTCACCGGCCGCGCACGACACACCTGTGTCGTGAATACTAATGATGATGTGTCGCGTGTACTAACGCCTTCTCTTGTGTGTTCTTTATCTCTCTCGCTCTCTCTCTCTTTTCACGCCTCGCCTCCTCATTCCCATCACGCGCCACTCTAACCGACACATCTTCACACATATCATTAAAAAAACACTTCAAAAAAACTATCACATCGATACTCCAAAAAAAAAAACAAACGTCTACGACATACATTTCAACACGATCTCGAACGCGCGTCCCGATTATCTCGTGTCCCCCCTCCCGCCCCTCCGTTCGTATCCTGAATCCTGAACGGGATCCTGAAACGAACAGGTGACTACCTACCGGAGGAAATACCGCAAATCGTTCTCCTGACCTTCGACGATTCCGTGAACGACTTGAACAAGGGTCTCTATGCCGACCTGTTTGAGAAGGGACGAAAGAACCCCAACGGCTGTCCCATCTCGGCCAGCTTCTACGTGTCCCACGAGTGGACCGACTACAGCCAGGTTCAAAACCTCTATGCCTCGGGCCACGAGATTGCCTCCCACACGGTCTCGTAAGTAATCGAATCGTCATTAAGACGCGCTGTACCGATCTGCGAACATTTCGCCTCCGCGGCGCGGCGCCGCGGCCAGGAGAAGTGGCACACGGTTTTTATTACAATTTAATTAAACGAGCCACACGCGCGCGATAAATTACGCAATCTCGCGGTTGTTGACACTGCCTGACACTTTGTTTCGTATATATCTCTGCACGATCGGGAGATTTTTCAAATCTCTCGCGGTTGATGCTTATTATAGTAATTATGTTTCCAAGTAACTGGGTCGTTCGAGCATTCAGAAAAAGAACGTATGGATTGTGCGTTAATTACACAATTAAATATCAATCGTTTCGAGTTACGCTATCTGTGATCTATGTGATAATAATAATAACAATAATTATAAGTAAAGTATATACAATGTCAGTAGTTAATTACTGAGATTTCCAATTTATTCTTGCCCGTAAACTAAAAGGCCGCTCGACTTCGAGCAATCATGCCTTATCCAACAATCACTCGTATCATCAACGCACTATAATATCATGCGGATAAGTGTAAATTAATTATGATCATTAAATACGTCAAGTAGTTATCTCGCCTTTTTTTTTACACGTATTGAAGCTAACGCTAGTTTGTTTCTCTAATGAAGAAGTTAATAAGTCATCCTCACGCTTACTGGATATCAATCGACAAATCGCTTCCGCTTTGAACGTTGAATAATTGAAGTGACGCTCGACACACGTTCGGAAATTCTTGAATTTAATTTTGTTACCGTTTTCTTGCTTTTATATAAAATTTATAAGAGATACGTAAATATAAAAGGCACGTAATGCACGTAACATAATGACATAACAACCACGCTCGTTCACGGCTCTTGCGAAATCATCATCTTTTGTACGTCGATATCGTCGTTTTGCAAAAGCCGAGAGGTAAACGAGAGACGTGATTATGTAATCAAAATTTAAAGAAAATGAAAGGAAAAAAAAATAGTGTTTCCGACGTGTCGTCAGCGACTTTATGATCGGTGCGCCGTGAGAGAGTTAACTCTTCGTAACCCGAGTGATCGACACGACGATAAATCCCCGCAACAGGCACAGTTTCGGCGAACAATTTTCGGCGCGAAAGTGGGCGCGAGAGGTTGCTGGGCAGCGCGAAATTCTGGCTGCATACGGAGGCGTCAAGCTGGAGGACGTCAGAGGAATGAGGGCACCTTTCTTGTCGGTAATTATCCTCTAACTTTTTATCGCTCTTTATTTTCGTAATATTACGTAAGAGATAGATACGCGATAGCAGTATCCTAGAATGATTCCGCTCGACAAGAACCACTCTGTACGATCGCGGTGAACGATTTCGTCACCGTTCAAGAGAGCAATTTACGACTGTGTGTAACGCTGCTTTACGCTCCCCTGTGGCGCAGGTCGGCGGGAACAATATGTTCAAAATGCTCTGGGATACAAATTTCACGTACGACTCCTCCATGCCCATCTATGAGAACCGACCGCCCAGTTGGCCGTACACGTTGGATTACAAGCTCTTCCACGACTGCATGATACCGCCCTGTCCCACGAGATCCTATCCAGGATTGTGGGAAGTTCCTATGGTAATGTGGCAAGATCTCAATGGAGGTAGGTGCTCCATGGGAGACGCCTGCAGTAATCCACCGACTCCGGACGGCGTATACAAGATGCTCATTAAGAACTTCGAGAGGCATTATACGACTAATAGGTCAGTAAAGTGATTCGCACTCTACGCGCATACAATTATTAGACAAACGCAAATTGAGAAAACTCATGAAATAAATTTCTCTGTCCAACGTATTTTTAATAATTATTCCCTTTCACATGAATTTCTAATTTCTTTTCATAAAATGTAAGACTCATAAATTGCGGAAAATAATTATATGTGAGTAAAAAAATTCTCTTTTACATTGGAATTGAAAATTAAACAATTTACGACTCTTTTTACCTTGCAAATTATTTATGCTAATATTTTTATAATTTGACGCGTTTCCACAGGGCGCCTTTCGGTCTGTTCTATCATGCCGCATGGTTTACTCAACCGCATCATAAAGAAGGCTTTCTATCGTTTCTTGACACCATTGTCGCGATGGACGACGTATGGGTAATTACTAATTGGCAGGCGCTACAATGGATCAGGAATCCAACGCCTCTGGCGCTCCTGCACACGTTCGAACCCTTTGGATGCCATTATCCGGTGAGACTCGTAATCAGTTCTTTAACTCTTAGTTTACCGAAATCTTTTCACAAATAATTTATTCCAGAAATTTGAAATATTATCTTCCAATCTTTTTTTAAATTAGAGTAACAAATCTTTCGAACGTTCAGCTTTGATGCAGTTAAAATGTATTAAATACTTAACATTGCATAATAATTAAAAATTAGTCCAGCTTAAAATTACCATCTTATACGATTAATAATATTTCTGAAATTTTTAATAACAATAATAACAATGATCCTTGAGTTAGCTTTATTTTACGTGCAATTTTGCACGGTCTAAGAATATTACGTTATGGCGAATGTGATGCAGGACCGACCTAAGAAGTGCAACAACCCGAGGGTCTGCAATCTTTGGCACAAGAGTGGGGTGAGGTACATGAAGACCTGCCAAGCATGCCCGGACATTTATCCTTGGACAGGCAAGACCGGTATACGTAGCAGTCGCATCGACAACGAAGTCGACGCCCACGAATGAGTTATGCGGAGGGAAGTTTCAAACTTCGTTGCGATCGGGGAGAGTCCCATCGAACGAGCAGCGGACCCAGACAACGCGAATATCTAAAAGACGCGATCGACATGCTTAAACGAGGTCTTAATCTTCCAGACGTGGGAGTTTCTTGGACGTCTGAGAGAAATTCTCGATCTCTCCTAGACGTCCGAGGAACATCCGAATCTATCGGACGTGCTTTAGACGCCTTTTAAACGTATATTTTAGACGTAGACATCTTTTGGACTTTCGAATTGTTTGGGAAGCATTGTGGTAGCGCGCGAGGGGAGACACTCTTCTGTTCGGATAGGTAACTTCAAGTATTACACGCGCGTGTCCGAGCGGACACATTCGGGCCGAGTACGCCGATGCAAGTTTTATGAGTAGGATCTCGCAAAGTTCCCGTTTCACGCCGGATCAAATTAGAATCGCACCCCGCAGCTGTACCGGATCTCTAAACGAATCGAGATATTGTTATATGCGTCAACTGGCAGATTTGTAACTGAACGGAAGTTTCATGACTGCTCAGAGTTTGTTCCAAGAGAAAAAAAAGTATTTAGCACGTAAGTCTACATATAGATTATTTTATTGGTCAATATCTTTTCTGTAAGCGATTATGAGCCGGCTGGTAAAGTTGATATTAATATTGAAAATGAAGCGGTTGGATCGCAGAGTGATTAGTGTATGAGACGAATTAGATTAAATTAAATTAAATTAAAGACATCATCGCGACGAGAGAAAGAGAGAAGATCGTGTGTGTAAGGTTACGCGAAAAATATCTAAAGTGTATCTACTCTTCTTTCCCTTTTCGCTTTTCTTTTGCTATCTCCTTATTTTTCTCTTTCGCAAATTCTTCTTTTCTTTATCTTTCTTTCTATTTTTCTTCTTTTCTATGTCCTTCTTTCTCGAATTCGCAAACATCCTTGGCGTACTCGGCCAAATTCGGCCAAATAGAGCAATTAATTAAATCGCAATACGTAATAATTAATCGTCGAGATGTAAGTGTAAACGTCGGTCGCCGGAAACATATTTAAGCGAAACTCGCGACGGTCGAGATCGAGATTCATCATGCGCGGTGGTCACTTTGTGAAAAATAAGAAAAAAACTGAGAAAATTTCACCTCGACGAAGTATCGTGCGCACGAGGGGATCGTCGTGTTTATCTTCTAGAACGTAAAAATGTAATATGCCTTTAATAAATAAATATTTCGCTAGAATATCTTTTTTTCCGTTTTTAACCAGCATCTGTGCAGATATAATCGTGGATTACGATAAATTAATATGACACGTTAATAATATGCTAGATAGGAGATTGCGCTTTCGTATCCTTTTGTTATAAATGTGCATCAGGCGTCGATAAAGGATAAAGGATAGTGGACCAGGTATCGACGTTGAAGTTACGAATATACTGCCAAACCACGATATCTGCCGATCCAACGTACTCCAGCCAGTATTGCGCCATATTATTATAAATTTTCTCCTTCCACGTCTGCAATAAAAAGTTTATTGGACCGTTTAGAGCACTTATTTACCCGTCAATTATTATCATTATCCGCCAATATTGCCATTAAGGTTAATTAATTGAAAATCAACGGTTTTTTATTAATTTCACTTTATTTATTAACTAATAAAAATTAGTTGTTCTTCATTTTTATTACCCTTCTATTTTGTATGATCCATGCCATCATCAATTGGTTTTCTTGTAAGGTCGCGAATTTCTGTGCTTTGTACAAACAGATTCGCGTGCTCGATTTGCGGCCCCGAAGAACATTCAAGTATGCCATCAGCAGATATAAGCGTGGTTTTATGACTTTCGCATGCTTGGAATTGTTCTTAAGACATTTGATAATGCTGGAAATATCTTGAATCAGATTTAGTAGCTCATTAGAGCGCTTCGTATTGATGCAGCGCAGCAATATCAACAGATAACACTCGAGTCCCTTAGAAAAAATGCATTAAAGTGCTGTATTGAAACAAAATTGTTTCTTTTATATTGCTTATTAGATAAGAAAAACATATTATTTATTATAATACATAAATATAATGTAATTTATTTTTATCCTTGTAATATTTCAACTGTAATCTCATCTTTTGTTCACAATCGCTATATCTATTCACTTTTTATTTTCTCTAAATATTGCACTCAATAAATAAAGTTATTATTATTACTGTATTTGATAATTAATAATAGTAAGAGACACACAATTAGTCATATATTTTCCTTATGTGGTAGAAATTGTAAAATCATAAGGTTTAAGAAATTATTAAAAATGTTTAAGAAAAAAATCGACAATCCTTAATTTATGTATAACAAAGAATGAAAAATGTGAACGTTCGAGAATTTAAGTATACCTTGCTGCAAGTGAGAATTTGAGAAAAGTCATGCCAGGTAACGTCTTTCACGTATTTTTCCGTGCTGTACGCAATCGCATCAACCGTACGTCCCCTACCGCAAATATACAATATTTTTTATTTTTTTTTTTTATATTATTTTACAACAATTATGTAACAACACATTGAACATTAGTTAGTTCACTATTCAGACAATCCTAAATCACTATAGGTTAAAATAAAAGAAAAGATGGATAGCTTGGAATTGATTAATGAATTTTTGAGAAGCGTAAAGCAATTGTAACAGCTAAAAGTCCGTTACGGGGAGTAGGAAAAAGTTTTTTACATGCAGCCAACTCGTGATTTATTGCAGAAACTTATTACGGAAACCAGAGAAAATAAATAAATACTTACATTCTCAGCTGGTACATCCATAGACTTGTTAGTAAGCGGCACAGACTTTGAGGATCGCGCCATACGCAAAATTTCGATCTGTAAGCTAGTCGTTCTTTCGTGTTAAAATATGTTAAAATATGTAAAAAAGGAAAATGAAGATAAATGGGACGATATGCAAAATTCCAAGCAAATGGCGCGTTACTTTGTAGAACAGCCGAAGTATACAAAAGAGAAAAAAAAAACGATAAATTTACACAAAGTTTCGAACTTAAAACTAGACCAAATGGCGAGAGTTTTCCGGATCGAATTCTTTTATTTAGAGTTACAATTCACTGTGATTCAAACCGCTCGCAATCGAAAGATAGGTATAAATGACTGTTTTAAACTATCGATCGTTAAGAACGACTCAGGTTTTGTCGCGACGGGTCGCGGTGCCTGGTATGAATCTATCGCTATTTATTAGCTATCGTAATCGCGAGCAAAGTAATGCACCGTTTTAAAAATGACTTATGCTTATGCCTAAGCTGTTCCACAATCACAATGCAATAGTTTAACGGTATATTAATTATAGTTGAAATAATTTTATTAGAGTAGAAAATTAATTAGAACAGTTTGAATTTTTTTTAATTATAGAACAATTAATTAGAGTAGAAAATCCTAATATGAATTTCATTGCAAGAATGTCATACGAAAGATCGATATATGAGTGAGCGCAAATGTGGCCTAAACGTGTAAACTTTACACGATATTATTGACTAATTTTAATCACGTAATTCGAAAACTATCGTTTTCATTTTAGGATTTTTCACATAACTAATCTCCAGAATGCATGTTTTAATAAATTGAAATTTAATAAAATAAAATTTAAATTTATTAAAACATTGTACGATGATTGTGGGATGGCCTTTATAGAAAATTAGAAATAATGATTTATATAAATTCTAAGATATCTATACAAACTGCGCTACAATTCTTACCAATAAATTTTTCATAATAGTTATAAGATGTCTCATATGATTCCAATATTATTCCCGCATCCAGCATGAGATCTAAGGAAAGAGCGTAATACCACGTCTTGGCTGACAAATCCATGTCCTCGTCTGCTAAAAAGTACAGCTCCCGCATCAAATCGACAGCTTCATTGACACGTCTGGTCCATAGCTGATCGACAAAAAAATATTATGTAAATAAAAATGAAATAATATTCATTCCAAATAACGAAAAATCCAAGAGATGTCTATGTAAAAATGTTAAAATATGCGAAAGATTAATTTGTTTTTTTTTTTTTAATTTTGAACCTTTGCGTCGTTTAAAAAATTTACACGGATAACACAAGAAATTCGTGAGCGAATTAATTTCAAATAGTACCATTATCTGAATTAATGAGGGCACAGTGATCAGCATCAGTTTATTAAGATGCAATGTTGCAGATATTTTCAAGACTTTTATACCCATGTCTACGGCTTCCTCCAATTCGCCTCTTAATACTCTTATTTTCACATGCGAATAAATATAGTTTAAAGCACATAAATTAATTCCCGCGTAAAATTTAAAACAATACACCTAATTATACCTAATTTGATACATTGTTAGATAAATATTTGCCACCATCGCTATTTCCTCGGCATTATTCCAACTACCTTTTCTTCTTATTGTGATTAGCATTGGTCTCTCGATATGTCGTATTAGCTTGATGTTTCTTGTGCAATGCAAAACTCGTACTGTCGCAAGATATATTTCGCCTTTCTCTAGAAAATTGTTAACGCTTAGAAACGCGAGCTTGAAACTTCTCAAGGCAAACGACTGCGCCGTTTTCAATTTGTTGTCTATCTGTAAAAGAATTACGTAAATAATTACATTCACCATAATTTCCTCTATTTTAAAATTTACCTAACGCGCGTGAAGTAATTAAAAAACAAACTCTCTGGATCAGTTTAATAATTCGCTACGTACCATAAACACGACGCAAAGACGTCGCAGATACGACGCCAATTCGAATTTCTTTACAATGAGTCCCCTTGACTCCTCATCAATCGTATAGCGAGGGTAATCTTGCAGTTTACAAAACATTTTTGATATTACGTTGTAACAGATGCCTTTCTCCAATCTGGGTAGGCTACCTCGCAGTCTCACCGCCGAGAGATAGTATTTTTTAGCTTGATCATAATTTCCCAGCGCGATGTGAGCATCACCTGAATACGATCAATATTATAATATATATGATAAATAATGATAAGACCTCTTTTTAAAAGAAGTTTTTCAACAAAATATTTTGTCAAGTTTCGCGGACCCATTAAAGCTAGAATAATTCCTTTATCCGTGATACTGTTCTCTGCGCTTTCATCAATCCACTCGTCTACTTCGGCGGCCCTACTTCTTTCAGCAGCGATCGAAAGCAGCTTAAGCGCGTAAAGGGGTTGCGCAATCTGGATCACTCCGGCACTATACTCGATAAAAAACTCGAGTACTTTGCCAATTTCTCCTATAAGTAAAAGTACAATTTAATAAAGTAAGCTAATAATTATAGTCCGATTTTGTAACGCATATCATGGAGTTGTGTTTAAAATAGTAAAATTATTTTTATAAAATAATATGTTATAATATATTATATTTAAATTAATGTCGTAATATAAAACAATGTTAGAATATATTAATTTAAATAATTTACCACTTTTCTCAATGTGCAGATGCAATCTCCAGAAAAGATGGCTGATGATATTGTCACACTGACAGTTACGATAATCGATATGGCTAAACTTCTCCAAGTAGCTTGGATCGGAAGGATCTATCGTCATTTCTGGAGAAATAATCGCAGACCGCTTTCGAAATTTTAGCGATTTGTTCATTCTTTCATTTTCTTCATTTTTCGGAACTATTAAAACATGTGACATTTGAATTCGATACATTTCGAAGTAATGAACTTGTTTTGTTGAATTCGGATGCTTTCCATTAGCTAAACAAGTGTCGTTCTGTCTTGCTGATTGAGGGCCAAGAAATAGAATGACGTATGTATTGACTTGTGTCACTGAATGTAAAGCACCCTTTACCTTCATCTTCGTCATCAGTTGTCGGCATAATAGACACTCTACAAACAACAGAACCTTGTTTTCTTGCCGCAGTAGTTGTTCTGGTCGAAAGTAAACTCGGTTTCGAAACCCATTTACCTTCGATAACCGTTCGACGGCGAATCAACGAAAGCCTGGGTGTTTGTTCTACATGCTGTATATCTTCCTTCTAAAGTCATTTAAACAAATTAGTTTTTCCAACGAAGTTAAAAAAATGTACTTCAAAAGTGTGAATAAATTATAAGATGTTAATGCAATATATCGATTAGAAATTGACTTTGCAAAATTATAAATTTTTCGACCTTTAAAGAATCTTTGAACAAACCGACCTTAAAATTATTGAGTTTATTATATTTTTTCCCCACGATTACATTGTTTATATAGAGGAACAAGGTCTTAAATCTTTTTTTTTCTGTTATATATTCTGCTAACCAGCAAAATTATGTATTTAAGATAAAAAGGATTTTAAACACCTTTATTGTAGAGATTAAAATTCATTTTCAAAAAATTACTCAACTTTTTGGTACTTAATTTATTTATATCTCGAAAAGATATGTAATTCTAATAACCTCCATTTCTTTAAGAACATCCTCGCTGAAAATTCTTAAAAAATGGCCGCTACCACAGGAACTGCACTTTCGAGCGTCCAAGCCGTATATCTTAGCCGCTCTCGTGTGGTGCTCCTGTTTTTCTTCATTCGTTTGTATATTGTACATCATTTTGTAGAACAAATCGACTTTAAACTCTAGCATTTTACAGTGAGCGTAAAGAGGCGAGGGGTGATGACCAATGACAGCTCCTAGGAAATCACAGGAATATTTGCTCTAATAATAAATAACGAAAGCGATAAAATGTAAGTTCACAAAAGAGTGCAAATTTTATTGCGATCCCCTTCGTTTTTTTATCTTTTGCTAATTCGATTTTTTCTCATTAAAAACGAGATTTTTCATAAAATGAATTAGTTAAAAGAATGATAAAAGCTTTCTTCAACTAATATTAAATATTATTAATTATAATTATAATTATTAATATTAAATATTACAAGTACTGTGAAATATTTCAAGTGTTTTTTAAAACTGAACTAACGGGAATGATGGCAGTTGCAGGACAACGAGTGGTGCATATCGGAGAACGTTTGCCGCTTCTTATCTATACAGAAGATAAGATCCTCGGTGTGGAAATCTCGTCGCTGCAGCGAAGCGCACTCTAATATCCGCATTCGGATCATCTCGGAAACGGCTGTAGAGTTACGCGAGGTTCATCTAAGCTAGCGTGTAATTTGGTTGTAATGAGATGCTCGAGAATTGTAATTAATTGTACTCACTCTTGATGGTGTGCAGCGGGATCGAATTAATCATTACGTTTTCTATCATGCTTCGTTTAAATACTCTACCCAGCGTGGCGGCGCATTTAATGAAATCTTGCTCGTAAGGATTCATTCTATCGTAAATCTCGCTCATCAGTTCTAAACTGAGACAGTTTCCAATGAAAAAATTAGTGCAGAATTCGAGCAACATAATTTCGTACGATTGCAAAGACGTTTCGTGTACTTTAAAATGTCGAGCCTATTATTTAATATTATTTTGCATTGCACTCGGCACATTGTGATTATTCATTCTATCTTGGAAGATTAAATAAAGAAAGAAAGATTTATAATGCCAGAAATATTTCAAGAAGCAATACGAAAGGATTTAATAATGAAATGTTAGATTTGCCTGTCATGTCACGATCGTTGCCAGTGATCTTAAGGTAATTTTCGTTCGTGACACAGATGTCCAAAAGACTCATTTGCGACCAGGGTAAAGGCGGCGCTAATTCCTCCGGTGTCAGATCAACTGGTAGCTTTGTCACCAGCGTGCCATTCGGAAAAACGAGGTCGCGTTGCGCCGCTTCGCTGGGCGATATCTTGATGAAGTCCAGACCGTTACTCTGAAGAATTGACGTCAGGAGCGCCTCGCACCATCCGATGTGACCATCTTTGCGTCTTTGCAAAATCCTGATAGAAATCCTGTCGTTGTTTAATAAATTTATGATACTGCGCTAGCCGCGTAAAAATAAACGGTGAAGAAACCTGCTTAATTTCCTAGGTATCGCGAGGACATTCAGAAACTGACACGCAAATACCGGGAGCAGATCTACACTCAGACCGAGCAATATGTGTTTCGTTAGCCTTTTATCTTTATAAATTTCCGCTTCTACATGGGACAAGTCATCCCAAGAATTTGGCTTTGGCATCGTCATCGCTGTGACAATGTTACAGTTATCGAGGGCCGATGACAAAAACTGCCAGGACCTGTGGTCCATGTATTGAATATCATCAAGCAAAATGCAGACTTTAGTCTTCAGCTGTAAATAACGAATAATCATATCAATTTACATGAAAGCGACTTTAGAACAGTGCCTCAAATCCTTTATTTACAATATAAAATAACGACATTGCCTGTTTTAATATCGTTTCAAAGATATCAATAGTTTTCGTGTGACGTCGCCAATCAGTATCCGAACAATAAACGTCAGAAAGAGGAAAACGAACTCTCATTAAAACATTTAAGTAGCAAAAATCTTCCAAGGCAAGAACATCGCCTAATTTGTTAAGTAACTCCTTTTCACGCTCCTCAACCGTCTCACAATCTTCAGCTTCAAGTATCTGCGAGGAATTTAAATGCTAAAGTCATTTATCTCTGTGTCAAAAACTATCTCAATAAAGAAAACCGATAGATATTCGCTATTCTAAAATAGATATTCCCAGTGAGAGATGACCCGTCGAATTGACGTCTAATTAGACGTCTATAGACATCGATTGACGTCAATTCGACGAGTCATTTCTCACTGAGTTGTAACCATAACTTCTGCTGCTGAGTTTCTACCTTCTGAAATCGAAGAATAGAATTTAAAAATCGTTTATTCCTTTTATAGGAATAAAGGACAAAATAGCGCAAAATTCTCAACTTTTCTCTTAGTTTAGCCATTTTATGAAATCTATTTCTATAGACATATTTTTCTTTAGAAAAATTCTAAAGAGAAATTGGTAGAATAATAAAGCAAAACAAATGTTTTGTACCTGCAGAATAATGTGATATATAACTGAATAAGCCTTTTCCGCGTATGTCGCGTGAAGAGAAAGTTTGATTGGTCTTATTTGTCTGTTGCAAACACTCGTGACGAAAGCATCTAAAAGTCTAGATTTTCCTGACCTCTCGATTCCCTAGATAAATAACCGATTAATTTTATAAAATACGCAGGACAAATGCTGCAGAAAATTAACATATTAAATCACTTAATTTTTTATCTTTATTGCCACATACAACAAATAATAATACTTGTATGATACTTATAAATAATTTTTATTATAATATTATTATAAGATTATAAATACTAAACGGATTAATTATATAATTGTAATATACTAGATTATGGTAACTTTATTTTGCAAACGCTCACTTTATTTTCGAAAGCTTTAAATCAAACCTCGATCAACAATCCTGAATATTTTCGATCTATCACTCCAATCTCGTCTAGGATATCGTCCAAGTATTCCAATTCGCGCAGTCTACCCAAAATAGGATAACAATAGTCCAGAGACGAAGTTGCATCTAAATTTTTCCTCATCCTTTTAGAATATCGTGGGAGATATAATTTATACATTTTACTATCTACATAATTTATATTAATTCTAACTTTCAAATATGTATAATTTAATAATTTAATTTTAAATAAGATTTTTAGAGAGGGAAAAACATATTTAAATTTTTATTACGGTATATCGCCGAGATATTCATAGATATGATATTTCTCTAATCGTTGCAATGTTCTCACACCTCGAGAGCGAAATTGATCCTTTCTGAAATGGCTATGCAACACGGTGTCATAGTCACAGGATACCTGATGCCGAAAGTATCGCAAATACGTAATTCAAGCCAAAAAAATTTATATATTTGCATTAATATAATTAACATAACTATATTTTTTTCGACAATATATTATAAAAGAAATAGAAAACTACATTATTAAATCTTCTTCTTTTTCGAAAAAATTGTTTCATAAACGCACATTATTTATTTTTAACGAACAAACTAATTTTGAAACACAATTTCTGACATAAGGTATGTGGCTAACACTACTAATTACCTTATCATAGGAAATATCCATTATTTTTATAGCTTTGTTGACAGGCGGTCCTATAATTGCGTAATATCTTCTAACAATATGCCCAATCACACCACAATAAGCCATTCCTAAAATCAAATTGGTAATATATATAACAGGTGTGTTATTATCACAATATTACTACTGTATGATATAACAACCGAGTTATAATTTATAACGAGATATATTGAAACCTTCCTAACATCAATGCCAATTGTTTCCCTATTCGTTCCAGAAAAAACCTTTTAGAAAGATGAAAGTAAAGTGATCAATATATCTTCGCACAAAAGAATACATTTAACTTTTACCTGTTGACACGCCGACAAAAGCGCTTTGAATTTTAGCGACGGTCTTCACTTTTTGCAATATGTGTGTCGCGCAAATAATTCCGTTTTTACAAGTCTCGTCGACTTTAAATTGGTCCTTATTACTGCACCCGCGTATACCAAATGCGATACGGAAGAGAATATTTCTCTCGTACAGATCCACTGTGTTAATACATCCCCCGTATTGCGTAACTATACTAAATAAATATTAAATTAACTTATTTTTATATTCTGCCGATAAATATGACAATGTGGCTGAAAGAACAGCAATATATTAATTGTAGAGATGAAATAAAACAAAATTTTTTATTTAAAGAAAAATTTCTGCAATTTTATTATAATTACTTATAAAATAATAATTTTCTCAGATATCTATTAATAATAACTATTAATAATATTTGTTAATCATAGATAGAATTGACGGTACCTATGCAAAAGCAGAAAGCATTTGTCGACCAAAAGAATTAATTCGCTGACTGAATATTTGTCAGGAATGATATCGACGGATATTACTGTGATTCGTCTGACCTCTGCCAAGAATTTTAATGATTCACCCTTTTCAATCTACGAGAAGCAAAGCTTGTAACTATGTAACAAATTATTCTGAAGAATTTATTCACAAAGTCTTCTATTTTGTCACAGCTGAAATAATTTACATATACCTGTTGGATCACCGGCTTTGTTAAATAGCTTCTTAACTGCGCGCTAAAATTCGGATTTATCGCTGTTATTGCAGAAATCGCTGTTGAAAACATTTCATGAAAAGTAATGTCTTTTCATAAGACTCCAAACAGTATTGTGGATTTATACAAAATATTTTTAGAAATGAAGAGATGAAAAGATTTACAATAAATAATTAAAGACATACGACCTATATATTAATTCCTAATAGCTGTATGAAAACAGTAATCTGGTACCAATTCTAACGAAAAGAACCAAATCTTTTATGATAATAGAAAACGAAAAATACGAGCAAGATAAAACAGATAAGAAAAAAAGCGAGAAAATACAGAAGAAATACACAGAACGGTTCACGGAATAATTATCATTTACTTTACCTGTCAAAGATTTCTCTTTTTTATTAGCGTTTTCTGTTTCGGAATATGATTCTCCCTTGATAGATATCAAGTGCGTCCTATAAGGTGACGATGGTCTGACGGCATCTATTATAAATTTCCCGCCCGCGGGCATTTCATGGTTCGGATTGACGTGATCGTTCGACAATGCCGGTGTCATATATGTTGATTTTGTGTCTGACTGCTTTAACACTTTTATTATCTGGATTTAAAAATGTACATAAATTATAAAAGATTCTCGTTAATCCTTTGAAAACGGAATATTTTGGAGCGCAAGCCGCAGCTAGAAAAAAACATAACTAAAACTGTAGTTATAAAAGTTACTTTTTAAGATCAGTAATAAATAAAGGAAATTTTTAACAAATCTTTAAATTGTAATAATCGATTGAATTTACGTCTGAATTTGCGTCTAATTAAATTTGCATTTAAACGGAAATAATGAAGTATGCGCGATTTTCACATTGAGTAGAAAGAGACGAGATAGTGTTCGGCTTCTCGAGTTTATAAAATGTCACAGAGATCCGTTACTTTCGAACTATAACTGAGGTGTCATCATACTTTCACATTATATGGATCCTTGATGACGTATTCGTATTGACTCGGCGTACAATGTTGCCATGCGCTCAATGATAATACCAAGTCATTGGGCAGAGAAACCTTTTTCGCATTTTTCAGCTCTTCAATCGGCAAACCGAAAATCACGAAATGCCGAGCCTCATCGCTACCGATCACCGAGAACGTTACATCCCCAGCGGAGATGGCCACGTTCACTGATGTTAATTAAAAATTAAATTCGCGATTATCACGAAGAAACGCGTTTACAAATCCGTCTCGTACACGAAACGAAACACGTGCTTTTAATTTTTTTTAATTTTGACTCTATGTAGTGTTACGAATTTATTTTAATTTCTTTCTTCCAAAAGTTATATTTTAAATTAAATCTGATTATTTCGAACGTGTCATTGCATATGTTATATTATATAAATACCTCTATAAATACCGTTAACATCTTCCAAGGCTGCTATGGAATTTTGTATAGTCATCGCGTGTGTGATCACGTTTTGCACGGCATCGAACATAAACTCACCATCACGTACTTTCCACGCTGCTAATAATCCCTCAGCTATATTTTTAAAATTGTTTATTTTAAAAGAATCTTTTTCAATTAAAATAATCACAAATAAACTAGTGGATCAGTAAAAAATATAAAATTTTCTTTCTATATATAAAATAATTTTTTATATACATCGTTTGCAATTTATAATTATATTTTTATCACGTGCTTAAATTATTCTTCTATACGATTACTATGAATTATATTAAGATTACAATTATTAGCAAATTAGATCGAATAACTTCTCTATTTTGTCAATTTTTTTACAGCTCTTAAAAAATAAATGTGTGAAATAATATCTTTATTTGGCAAGAAATAGTTATTATTGAAAAATATTTTCAGATTAATTATTTGTTGATGCATTCTATTTTGAACAATATTCTTTCACCAGAAAATTTTAGTATGTCTCCCTCGCTGCAATATATTTCGCGAACTGCAATATAGATGTAATCATTTAACGTTCTAGTTAAGGCCATGCTTCCTCCGTTTTTATCGTGAATGTATCTCTTATATAGCATCGAGAAACCTGCTGTATATATATTAATTGGACGATTTTATTAAAAATATTTTTATTTTTTTTGCAAAGGAATTACTTGTGCAAACTCAAAACTGCTATGCCAACCTGAGATGTTTATAAACATCAAAACAGCCCGGAAGCTTCGTAAGCTCTTATCTGACAAATCTGTTGCGTATATTACTTCGTCGGGAACGAAACTTGCCATACGATGAATCTGCTCGTCTACATCAAGCAAATCCAATGCCTAATTAAGAAATCAAGTTAGGATTGAAATACGTAAAGAGCATATAAAATTATAATATTAAAAATGAAATAATATATCTATTAATAAGATAAGGACAAAAAGACACCGTGCAAAGAATTTATATCTAACCTGTTTTAATGTCAAACTATGTTTCTTAAAAATGGGGCCAAACAAATCCGGCGTCCAAGCTGCGACAACATTTTCATCGTTTATCGGATCATGTGCCATTGCTTATATATATAACTAATCTTAAAAATATTTCCGGTATAATAATAAAGATATGCTTATTCTTCATAAAAGTGAAACTTATCACAGACAACACGCGTATATATAAAACTGACACTACTGAATTTATCTGTGAACGTTCAAAGGTTCACGATTTGATTATTTAATTGTAAATGAAATTAATTAATTAAATAAATTCTGATGTTACAACCTTGACAAAAAACGAACAATGCAAATTTTAGAAAGTTGAAAATAAATTTGATTTTTCTGATGTTACTGTGAAGAAAGAATTATTTAAATCGACTAAGACTAAGGGATTTGTAAAAAAAAAAATTATTGACTTAAAATACGCTAATTTTTTGCTTAGGATGTTCAATAAGTTGCATAATTAAGGAGGCGTTAATTATTTGAAAGAAAAAATAGAATATAATTTTTATTTGTCTTTTATACACTTCCCAAAGAATATTTTCTTAACATTAATTTAATATATATTAAATATATTATATATTGAATTTATAATAATGCAATTACTTAGTATTACAATAAATATATTAAAATATATTTTCAAGTACATTTTGCTATGGTATTGACGCTTGATAATTGTTTACCTATAATGACGCCTAATATTGAAAACACAACACTTTGTTTATTATACAGGTACATATTCGATAGAATCATTAGTTATCAGCGACCTTCTGAAATGGTAAGATCGTGATGTTACAAATATTCTTCCGAAGTTATCAATTCGTTGTAACGGCTTGCTAACTATAACTAATTATTACGAGGAATTATATCTTAATTGCTAATTGCGGTACAAAGGTAAGTTTAAGAATAGAACACTCACACATCTCTCTTTAAAAATAAAATGCATAGATTTTGGTTTAAGTCGTTACGAAGGGCAAATGTAACCAACATAGTTCCATCTTAAAACCAAAGTCATCCTTTCGAAACTTTCAAAGTAATCAATATCTGTAATTTTCTCTTTAATGAAACCATATTTTTCTGTTGTTTTTTCTTATATTATTTTTGCTGTCTTTATATTATACATATAACTGTACTATTTAAAATAGTACGCAAAATTACATAAATAATTTATATAATTTAAATAAATAGAAATGTGTACATGTCTGCGAATGTTTAATTTTTCCAACTCAGGAAAGATTTAAGAAAACATTGTATTTCTAATAAAATTAACTGTGTAATTTTTATATATAACGAAATAGACGTTCGCTCCCTTCGTATATATTAAAAGTTACCTTTTACATTTTCTTAGGTATCAACACAAGCGTACGGCTTTATCGAATACATCGATATGAATTATGGATTGTTCGTTCAAATATGGATTGGCATGACGTGGATGTACTTCGAAGAAATTCTTACGATGCCCATCTCGTGACGGTTTTCACGGCATTTCTGTCGATACACAAGGTGGGTGGCAGTCGACGTTGCATGTGGGACTCGCAAAGGCTTGTTAAAGGAGTCACACGACACTTGGAATCTAAACAGGAAGCGTTCGAGAAATTTATTACAAGCAATTCATATTTTACATTCGTTTTAATTAAAAAAACAAAATTATTAGAATTTTATCTCAGATATTTTATAGAAATACGTACGTTATTAACTGTTATTAATTTTTTACGATAAAATAATTTTAGTCGATGACAATTATCGTGTCTTCTCGATGTATATAAAATACGTTATGTATTTTAATAAGCTTATATATATATATATAAAACAATATATATTTTTGTATCATTGACATATACGTTGACAAAATATTCTCGTTTTCATACCAAGACAAAAATTGAAATAATCATCTATTTGAATGCTAAAAACATGTGTACATATAATTTCTATATCTTTTATTATGCGATTAGAACAATTCTAAGTAAGACTTATACATTGTGGCATCAATAATATTAAAAAATTAAAGTTATTAAAATGCATATCACACGAATCAGGGACAAATAGGACGTGCAGTAATATGTGCGTTTAGCCATTATAGATAATACATAAAAATATCGACAGGATAACAACTCAAATTTTAGGAAAACGTTCACGAGAAAAGATACTTCTTACATGGGTATATTAAATTCTTCTTTTTATTCAAATTTTTTAACAAAACTCAAAAACATATAGTTATAATAAAAAATGTTTTAAATGACAAAAATATCACTTGTAAATAATCATTTTTGCTACATATATATATAATGCATATTTTATCTACTGAAATCATAATTGATTTCAGTAGAAGAAAAATCAGCTATGAGCAAACTATGATTTCAATATAAAAAAAAAATCAGCGATGAGCAAGAATTATATAAATTGAAACCGAAAATCGAGATACACACAAATATATTATAATAACATAATGTAATCCTTCATGCATATACACCGAAGATTACAATACAAAATTTTGACATCAAATTTACAGACCTTGTAAATAGTAGCTTCATTCGTACGAATGAAGTGTAAAAAGGATGCGATTACATTTGCGAAGTTTTGATCATCATAGAATAAAATTCTTCGAAATCACGGGTTTTGATACGATTTGGATACGATTGTAAAAAAGCTTACAGCGTATACGGCGTATCTAATCTCATTCTTAAATGCAACGCAGCGATAATCATTCTTAATGTAATAACAAAAATGATATGATTTATTTATGTAAATTTGAATTTGTCGCATTACACGTCTGATGCGATTTCTGGGAATCAGATTCTCCGGCCGTTAAGGATGGGGAAAATGTTCGATTTTGAAATAGCATTATTTTCGATATCCTTAATACTTCGGTATACCTTTGAAACACAAACTTATATGCATAAAGGATTAAAAATACGTCAGAATTTACTCGTTTACAAATACATTACAATTTTTTAAGATGTCAGTTCAATTATTATGTCCAAGATTTTGATATTTAAATAATAATCACTTATACTATCAGTTCTCTATTTTTTTGACTGATGTACATATAACTGCTTAAACACTTCTAACTGTATTTTATATCAATACGACATTAATCAATATTATGCCAGCGGTATAACCGGTTATTATTAATGTCATCGATATATAATATACCAACGTGTTAAAAACCTATTTTAATCTTGAAAATAAGATCCGTATCAAAATGACATACATTGAGCGAATAAACGAACGATACGAATTCTAGCTGTTAAAATTCAGAAAATATTCGTTAACGTTCGAATATTCGGTCTGAATGATTTGTGAGACGCTTTATAAAAAAAGTTCATTACACATTTATCGCGTAATTAATTAATTTAATAAACTTTTGCGATATTTTGAGTGCCATTCTATTGTTTGTTTGCTCGTAAAGACAGCTCGTGACATGCGAAAGCAAAAGTAAGTTTATATATAATTGCATAAACTTGAATATTTTGTAATTCCAGCAAAATATTATATAATATTCTAATTCTTTTTTATATATTTCCTAGCATATGCGGCTGTTTGCATGAGATTATTCTATACCAGCGAAGTAAAAAAAGAATCAGTGCGTTGCATGCCATGGGCTCCTCTCTTTATCATTGTACACCTACATTTTTACATTCGACATTGACCGCAAAACAAGATATCGAATTTGCATCCAATGCCAATGTTACATTATCGTGCACTCAATCTAATCTCATCTCGCGGTATTACAAATCAATTTTTCCATCAGAAATTTCAGGTTCGTTGGTACGTTTAAAGCAGTTATATGTCCGATGCACTCTGTCCATACAAAAAATTTTTTTTGAGTTCCCTAACAAACGTAATGTTCGTCCTCACGTTCCTCATCGTCTGTATCCCGACACGCGTCGCGAGCTTCTTAAGTAAAATATATAATGCAATGTACTAAACGCATCATAATTTTGAAATAAAGGTGCAAAATCTAACTGCTATTTGAGTTTGTTTGATCTTCGCACGTCGCTGTGCTATTAAAGAATCAATATGTACTTTGAAAATTACCACATTGCAATATGTATACGCATTTAATTATAATCTATATAAGTACTATATTTATATATACACGTATTAGACTTTATTAATTCTATTATTAATTCTTTAAATTTTTATGACTTTGTACGATAAATTTTGTAAAGAAACATTATATAATCTTTCGACGGCAATGTGTAATTATTGTAATAATATTTCTATACCAAGTCTGAAATGCAAAAATAATAAAACAATCAGTCTAAGTAAAAAAAAAGTATAAGAAATAATAGAATTAACTTTGTACTTAAACCATACCATTTTTCTGACGTAAAATTTACATGCAGAGAAAGGAAATTCGCATAATATCGATAAGTCCAACAAAAGAGTAAAAGTAATTAAACAAACATACATCACTAGATATACATAAACTGGATATAAATAAACGTGTTATCTCAAATTGTTGAACATCAAAAGAAATAAAATATAACATTATAGAAATCCAAAAAAATTTCTTCTGTTCTTCTATTTAGAGAAGTCGAAATGTTTTTAAATGATTTATTTCGACAATCGATATTATTGCGAATGCTGCGAATATAGCAAAAGAATAGAAAGAGATGCAATAAAGCAAAAAAGTAATAGCATAAAGACAGAGAATAAACTAAAAAGTAATATGTAAGAGACTTATAGGAAGAATAAACTCGATTCTATCCACTAGTACGCTAGTTGTGTGATTACACTTTTTTTATAATTACGCATATTGCGTACGATATGAGAAGAGAAATTTCGCAGAAAGTTTGCAGAACAGAGCGTTAGGAAAGTATAATATATCATAATCTCAGAGAAGACTGATAGTTCTATTGAAGTAACAATGAGAACTGATTGACTAATTTTACATGAGTAATAATTTTTAATGTTTCGGAAAGCCGTGTTAATACAAATTTTTGTACGAAATTTCTACATTTTTAGAGCAGCGTCATTCAGAGAAAGGGATACCAGTCTCTTTATATCTTCTTTTCAGGCTATCATTATCAGGCTTGAAACAGTATCAGAATTGAATATTTCTTTAAATATTCTATAATATGCGTCTGTAATAGTTGTTTTATAATATTCTACTCTAAATATTCTATAATATTTCTACAAATATAATCTTCATTCATTCATTGTCATAAAAATGGCAATTAAATTTTTGGCAACTATTCTGATTTCAATATTTGACTTAGGAATTAATTTACCTACGTGATTCCTATATGTTTCCAATTGATAACGAGTGTTCCACACTCGAACTTGACTAGTTTATGATACAGCCGTTTTCCCCCTCTTCCCGCGCGATCTACGTGACATGTCAGATTTTTTTAGCATTTGTTATTTAATGCTTTGTTCGAATAAGATGTAAGAAGAACGCAATTATATTTGAGGATTTCCGATCGCACACCGCACATACGAGGGGGTTTTCAGCACTGTGAAAACCCATGTGCATCGCGTACATGATCTCATTCGCAAATATAATATGACAATAATAACAAATAAATGATGAATTATATATATTTGCATTATGTGTCACATTAAGCGTCTCACTTCTCTGGAGATCAGATTGACTTGCCGTTAGAAGCGCTGGAAGAGAAGGTTCCGTATAGATTTGGTCTGTGTTCGGTGTTTGTGTTCCGTTGTCGTTCGTGTTCTCATTTGTCGTAGGGTATGCTAGCCTCGTCGCTTTACGCTTACGTTTGTTGCGTCTTGATGTGCTCGCAATTGATGCAATTGATTCCTCAAACAGCAGCTGATTTTCTAGTTTCGACATTGCGGACATACTAAGGTCCAGCGGCTCATCTGGAACTCCCATTTCTTCTACCGACGGTTGATGTTCCGAGACCAGCATCGTAGATGTCGAGGGTTCGTGAATAGCCTTGGATGTCGATGGTTCGTCAATAGCCGTGGATGTCGAAGGTCGGTTAATAGCCGTGGATGTCGAGGGCTCGTTAAAAGTCCTCGCGTTATCAAAGAGACTTCCATTGGCACCAGTCGCGCCGGCTAAGTTTTCAGTATATTTTGGGCGAGGTAAAAACTTTTGGGCATTTAGCATTAAACGAAATACCTGGCCGGTTTCCTTGTCATCTGAATCTCGACGTGTCGCAATTTCATTCACCCACCACTGACATAACGTACTAAACATAGGATTTAACAGTGGGTTCTCCTTGTTAGTGTTTTGGTTAATATTTGGATTACTGCTTGGATTTACTCCGTTCTCATTGGTCATTCCGTTAAACATAGTCATAATGTTTTTGACTCGAGAATCGGAGTGAGACGATGGGACCTGGGTTGGCGATGTCCGTACTGGCGACACTTTGACCGGTGACGTCAATGTCACCTTCGAATTCGGCGAGTTCGGACTCGAAGTCGATCTCGGGTTTACGGTCGAAATCGGGGATGACGATATCAAAGCCGGCAAGATCGGAATCATTGAGATCGGGGAAATTATTTCCGAGGTTGACGGCCTGTCCTCGGCGGTTTCCGTAAACTCTTTTTCCTCTCCGACAATTGGCCTTCGTCTGGGACCGCGTTTGGTACCGTAAACGTCAATGGTGGCCGATGGATTCCGCGTGCCGTCCGGGTTCAGCACCATGCCCAGCGTATGCCGATTATCTTTCAAATGCTTCTTCATCGCGTTGCAAAATTTGGTTTTGTACACGCAGTCGCCGCAATTGTACTGATAGACCTCCGAATGCGTTTTCATATGACTAGTCAGCATCGATTTGCTCACGCACGTATATTGACATTCCGTGCACACGAACCCCTTGAAATCGTCGTGAGCGCTGAACCAGTGGAATGTCATGTGATGCTTGAGCGTGGTGGCGAACGGACACAAGGGGCAAATGAAACCGGGACAGTCTTCCCGTATGAAGTGCTGCCGCAAATGCAGCCAAAGGATCGGTTTCGTGTCCGCTATAAAGTCGCATTTGCTGCAGGGTTTCGGCCTAGGAAGTCTGGGCCTCTTCTTCCCCTTGCTCTGTGTTTCATTACCGGAATCATCTTGCTCCTCGTCGTATCCGTTTGAGTAGTCTTTTTCGACGTATTTATCTTTTGCGAATGTGCAATGAGTGATTATGTGTTCGATGTTTTCCATTCTAAAAATATATTATTTAAATAATAACAATTTGCATTTTGCTAGAATCGATAGAGCATTAAATGTAGCAGTGCACGTTAGAGATCATCACATTCAATTTGTCAGAACAAATTCAATAGATTTTTTTAATTTAATAAAACAGATTTTAGGACGCGCAAAAGTATGGCAAAGTTGGAATATCGAACATTACGTTTTATGGTAGAATACCATGCGAACAATATAGAAGATATATATTTCATGTATATTATTTGTTCTTTGCAATTTTCTCTTTTCTCAACCGATCGCTTTCGATGCACTCTATGTATAATATATAAACTAAAAAAATTAATACTGGATACTATACCTTTCGCTCGCAACGTAGGGACATAATTTACACCTCCTAGGTAATTGCGACGACTGATTCGTGGTATTCTCGGTTGAACTACGTGTAGATGACGAACTGCTATTCTTCGAGGATTGACTCGAACTACTCATTGAAATTCTCAAATCAGATTGAGTCGAGAAGCCACCGTTGTTATTAGTTTCTTTAGTCTCTTCCACTGACTGCTCGATCTTCTATAGAAAGTAAAAAAAATATTAAGAAATCTTTATAAAAAGATAAATGTGTTAAGGTCGGAAAACGTGGTGCTAAATTTTATCAACTGAAAGGTGAGTGTGAACATATAAAAACAATTCAACTTTGTTTTTTTATATTTATTACATGTAATATCAATATAATTTAATATGTATAAAATAACAACATATATTAATGTATAATTTTGATATTAACATTTATGCATTAGACATAAAGCGACGTTATTTACGATATATTATTTAAACATTTATATTTAGAGAAATCTCCTAAAACATCAAAAGACACTAAACAAATTCGATCTTATATTTATGGATGTAATTATTTGACTATCAACTCTTAAAATTTTTATCCTTGAGTCTATACAATATAACGACATACATATATTCGACGAAATAAAAAATAACAGGTGCAAGCACGAAAAAAATATTCCACGCTTGAGTTTCAAAGACTCAATATCGATACGACTTCCATCGCATTTCCACGCCGACATTTTGTTGAATATAAAGGGGGAAGGGTCCAGAGAATGAATAAAGTACGCGATGCGTATTGCAGAGAAAAAGGAAGAGGGAGATGGAGCTCAATCGGAGAGGGGTTGCGCGATTACTCACCACGTTTCTATCACCCCAAGCGGGCGTGGTTGGCGAAAGGAATTGTTCCTTGACAGTAGTCTGTTGTTCATGCTGTTGTTGATGTTGTTGCTGACCTAGCAGAACATCCAAAAAGTCTTTTTTGCATTTGTCCATTTTGGTGATCATGTCTTCGATGTTTTCCATTCTAAAAATATATAATTTAAATAATAACAATTCGCATTTTGCTAGAATCGATAGAGCATTAAATGTAGCAGTGCACGTTAGAGATTTCAAAGCCTAAAAGGATGCCAATCAGAGATTATAAAAAATAAAATAAAATAAAATATATTCAAACGGAGCGCACGAAGCGACGAAAAATATTGATTAAAATTCTAATTTTTAATTTATATAATTATTGTTTACAAGGTGATTGATAAAATCAATAAACCGATGTTAAAAGTAAAAGAGAATCTAAAAACGTAAGTATTCACGCCGCGATAGGGAACAAATGCTTATAAAATCTCTTCCTATTCGGACTTATTCGGACGTCGACTCTCTCTCTCTCCCTCTCTCGTTAAACTCTATATAATTTATTGACTAGCATTGCAAACAGTAATAAATAATAATGTTAGTAATAATAATATGTATGCAGAAAACTACGATTTTCGAAGGTCTATTCAGAGTATATAAATTCAATTTATGGATTATCGCCATAACAGAATATTCATTCACGCTTTTCTTGTAACTTTGAATCCTAATCTTAACAAATCTTTGGAAAAATATTGCAAATTCAAAAGCACGAATAATTTTGATCTGTTTTTTTTTTTTTAGTAATAAGCTTATAGGCAAAACAATAAAAAGGGTTAGCCACAATTGTATAACTTTTCCTATCCTACATTCTATCCTGAAGAGAATAAGCTACTATAGTCACTAGAGACGTTATACGACGTCTCCAGTGATTATACTATGTCCTCTGAGACATTATACGATGTCAAAATTCCACTCTTTAGTCGGACTTATGTTCGCATCCCAGAGGAATACATTGTCTAGTTCCAATAGTAAAAATTTAGCAGAAAATATTCGCAGTGTGTAGCGAATATTGAGCAAAAAAGGTTTAACTTCAGTGCTTTAAATAGCGAAATAAAATGCAACTTTATTTAAAAACAATTATTTACAAAATTTCTATTCTCTTACTTTGTATACAGAAAAATTCGTTATTAATAAATACGGAGGATATAATTAATAATACGGAGGATAATTGAACTTATAAATAATTAAATCTGAAATTAAAGAAAACGTATTTTAAAGCCATGAAGATATAAAAATAATAATAAAAAACATTAACATAATATTAATATTGAAAAAATATGCAAAAATAATAAATTAAATTTTTTGTATAAAAATAATTTCTTATTTTCTTGCTTGGCCTATCCCAATTTTTTCATGTCACATTTCTTTTATTTGACTTATGTCTCTAATTTTAATTTATTTCTCCAATTTATAAAATGTAAAAGTACAAATTATAGTTTGAACTCAATTGTTGTCAAAAGTTTTTTAAATAATTATAGAGATAGCAACAAATCTTGAAATGCTTTATTGCTACATAAATCTATTAATGTAAATTTCTCAAATTATTTTCGCTTTCTCTTACAAAAATTTCGTATTCATAGATGAAGTAAAAAAGAGATTTATGTTCCTCTTCGAGGCGGTTTACGTTTATGCGGCTGGAATCAATTATTTAACTGGAGCAGCGAATGTATAGTCAAATTCTCTTCGTCAAGACGCCCCACTGTTAACTATAGGCAGAATTTCATTTAGAGTATGGTACGATACATATACCTGTGACGTTGCCCATAAATTAAAATGACATCTTTGAAAATGATCCCTTTCTTTCTATGCATGACGTAGTAAAAATAGTTAAAAACATATAAGTACTTTTTTTTACTTTTAGGAAAAGTGTGAAAACTGGTGGAAAGGCGCAAGGGGCGGTAACACAATGTGTAACAATATGATGAATACAAAATAACCTTTCTTTTGATGTAAAAAAGAAAAATAATTATTTCTAGTTTTCTTTTTTTATCAGAACAACTCCGACCTCTCTAAAACCATAGTTAGGAGTCTATGTTCTTAAAAGTCTACATTTTGATTCTATGAGTAATTAAAAACACTTTGTTTATTTGATAAGTACCATTATTTGTTAAAAATATATATTTTCTGACCATGTAGAAAATAAAAAGTAGGAGTACTCTCCTTACAAGTAAGTGCCTCGAATTTAAGGCTGCTAAACGCAGGTGATAAACACTTTTATCGATACATTTATTGATCTAGATAACTGTTTTCCGGCTTCGAAATTCCGAAGAAATAGGATTATCTTAAGGTCAAAACGACGTTGATGGTATTTCGAAATTCCAGCCGAGACGTACGTCAAGATCATAATAATAAATAGAAAACGGCAAAGCAACGAAGTACACTTGAAATTTCATTCGGCAAACATTACAGAGTAGAATAGAAATCACGCGCCAGAGAGCATGATAAAGAAAAATTGCTGAAAAATTAAAGATTAATGTAACGTAATGTCTGTGACTGAGAAGTTATTAAATTGACAATATTAAATTAAAAAATCTATTTAAAAAGGAAACGTCCTCATAAATTGCAAAAAAATCTGAAAAAAATCATACTGTAATATTTATAGTATGATAAATTGACTGGCAAAGAAGAGATAAAACGACAGAAACATTATCAATTTAAATAATATAGATCAATATTTATAGCGACATATTTCCTGTCAAAAATAAGAGTTTTTATATACGTTTAATGCTTACGCAAAATGTTCATCACGCTGTAAAGAAATTTACTACGCTGTTCGTACATTCGCTACTCATACATTCCTGATGTGTAAGTATATATAAAAAAAATAAAACAAATAGGAAAAGAGAAAAAAATAGAGAAAGAGGAGAACAAACATCCCGAGCGAGTTTTCTTTTAAGCATTAATTAAACAAAATTAATACAAAAAGATAGCTGACTATTTTTTTTGCCTAACTATGAATACAGTTACAAAAATACAATTTCAAACTGTATTTTTTTCCTTTTTAAATTTGTAAAATGAATTTAATTCATAAAGAATTTAATCTGTAAAGAATATGAATCTGTATAGAAAATTTAATCAAAATAAAATAACATTACGATTGTACTTACTTTGCTTTATTAAACGCTTGTCAAATTTATTAGTAATGACCTCCAAATTCTTTCGTCGTCCTCCAAATTCTTCAGAACGCCATATTTTCCTCAACTTGTCTTTAAAGATTTGACATTTATATATTTTACACTACACTACTTTTGATATGCAGTATCCTTACTGCTTTGAGTCCCTCAGCACTGTTACTTATCCACGATACTTATCACTATATATATATCGTCTATCGTCCTCTTTCAAAGATTTTCCTCGTGTTCGAATGTTTCGTTTTTTATTAATTTAACGTCCGAACGATTAATTATAATTAATTAACAGGACGATAGTTTTGATGAATCCGAAATTATAGTTTTTTTGAGGAAAATCTCGATATCGAGCGGATATCAGAGTGGACGCTGGACCGGCTTTGCGACGTAGATTCGCAATAATGCGAAAACACTCGTATTGTCGCGGGTAAAAATTTAGACGATCCGAATCGAGAACGATTCCGGAACAAAAAATTCCAGATTTGTGTATCAATATGTACGCGAGAATGCTCGGACAAACGATACCGACTCGAAACTGAGAGACACTAACTCCTGAATCCCGACTTTAGCTCCTGTTCTAGGGTGGTACCCTCTCTCCGGAATCGTTTGTCCAATAGTAGCACGCACCTATTTTACTCAGCCCCTATTGCCTACCCTCATCCACTAACTTGCATACCTCTTAACAAAAAGTTACTCCCACTCTAGTCTAAGAGAGCAAACCCGTTATGTGTCGCCACTCACGATACTGTTATACGCTTCCGCTAGTTTTCAACCCTTCTGCCTCATAAATAATCTTCATAATACCGTATGATTTTTTCTTAACCATTTTAAATCACGATACTTTACTCGATCAAACAAAAAATTACGGTGCGGTAATAAATGAGGAAAATAAAAAATAAACGTTGATGAACAATTGTATTGGAAATTTTTGAAAGTATTATTTGATAAATATAAATTAAGAATGTCTTAAACTGTATCGAATTGTATTATGTAATTACGACATACATATTATTAATTAATTATTTATTTACTTATAAAAGGTTATACATTAATTTCTGATAAAAATTGTACACAAAGAAACTTTGTCATATTATTTCATTGAATTAATATTGCTTTAAAAATGTATGAGTAATTCCTTACATATCTTGGATAAACACATACAACCAATTAAAAATTAATAATACACAAATTTAAATAATATATAAATCTTATGCACAAAGGATTATTACTTCGGTCTGTGGTTTTTTTTTACACCCTCGGAGTGTATACGTGGGTATGTCACGTTCGACACTATTTTTTCCTACCTTAAAGTATTTTGAAAAATCTAAAAAAATTCATAAAACATCTGTCTATATTGTAGTTGACAATTTTATAGTCATTTTGATAAACATCGTTTATTTAATATTTTCTGGCAGGCTTGCAGTTACAAGCAGATATCACTTTGACTCTGACGCCGTAGATCACAGATGGAGGGTTAATGTATATGGACATATTTTTATTTCATTGCAATAATATGTGTTTATACTCAGAAAGAGTCTTTTTTGTTGAAATAATCTTCTTATATAACATTTCAAGTTTAAAAAAAAAAGTTATTAAAATTTTAACCGCAAATTACGGAATATTCTGCAATGATAGAAAATATTAGAGTGATTATATACATAATGAGTGCAGGATTATAGTAATTAAAATAAAATTCATTGTTTTATGTAGTTTATGACCTGTTAATTATTAAAAAAAAAAATTAAAACGTGCACAAGACAATTCACTTATAATCGAAAGTACTCAAATATAGTTATTCAAGAAATTAAGACAACGACGCATTTTGTGCAAATAATAAAATAAATTCTGTAATTTGCTTTCGATTAATTTGATTCGATCTTGAAGAAACACATAAAATACACGATATGTGTACCGTGCTATTATTCGAAGATTCTTTTTTCGTCGAACGCAATCTGTTTTCTCTCTAATGTAGACAGCTCGCACCCTTTCCCTAATACTGTAAAGAAGACAGAAACTCCTATTAAAACGTGATATTTTAAAGCAGAAGCTTTTTCTAAAATAGGAGTACAATCTACACACAATATGGGCGCGTTGCACAAATAAAGGAAATAAAGGAGTGAAAATCAACGAATGACATACACGAAATGTAAAATGTGTGTTATTAAAAGAAATATTATCTTTTAGCTAAACGGCTCGTTTTCTGGCACCATTTATATGTCTATTACTCTTTCTATGTATTTCAGTGCACTACTATTCTGCAGTAAGTTAAAACCTATTCGATTCTGACAAATTTCTGATCTTAAAATGCAATTATGTTTTTAAAGAATCTATATTATTTCGAATAATCCTGCGGGGAAAACTATTTGACAATGTTTTTATCTGGACTAATGCGTAGTTTATATGCTTTAAGAAGCCGGTCAGACTATAAATTTTTGATCCTTTTTTTAGTTATGTAGCCGAAAAAGTTTAATGATGACAAACTGACTGCTTTATGAAATTCTTTCTCTTAGATATGTTTTGCTCGTAGAACGCAACATTCGATGAGTTCGGATTGCATTCATTCAAAATTCGAAATTTACATGTGCATTATAAATGTCGTTTTTTTTTTTCAGCAACCCGAGAGAATCGGCAGTATTTTATTCACTCTTTTTGTTCGTCTGAAATGAAAAAAGATAGCCGTAACGGTACCCTCACATTTTCCACGATCTTTAAATTTTTTATAAAGCTATAAAAATACCTATTCCAACGGCATCTTTTTTTTAAACGCATAAAAATGAATAAATGATCTATAAAAACGGCCCTTTATATAGTCCCGGTTTACTTGAAAATCACGTAGCTTAAAAGTTATTTCATTTGCATTATTACAATATATATTTATCCCAGTTTATCAAAAGTTAACATTTATACTTGGAAAAATTTAACAATGAAAGAATATATGTGTGTATACATGTGTGTGTGTATGTACAATAGATATAAAAATAATATAATAGTCATGATATTAAAGTCTACAAATTATGAAACAGTTATTATATCCACGCTACAAATACTCGTAAGTGTTGTAATAAAGTCTACTAAAGACGCTATTATTGTTAAAATATCTCGGAAACGGTTGACCGTTTGCACCTAATAGGGGTATCATTACATTCGGAAGAATTTTCTCTGTAAATCTTGCCAAGTTTCATTGAAATCGATAAAGTTCTGACCCTTTCCTTGTTAGACTAAGCATTGTGAAATTTTTAGAAAAGTACTTCTAATTTTAGGACATATATTGTGATGTGCTGTATTTTTCTTTGCACGGTAGGTGTAAAGTCGGCAAGACAATCAAAGCATTCTTCTCTTTTCGGTAACACTTTAAAGCTTTGTCAAGAATTATCTTTCAAAATTTTAATGTGACCGACATTCATTGTTCTTCTTAGAGAAATTTGCATATAAATTAAAATTTACGAGCGCCGTAAATATTTTTCTATAGTATTATTCTTTCTTGATTAATGAAGTAAAAATATTCACAAAACCGTTAACAAAAGTAAAAGCGTGAAAAAAATCGGCTGGTCTCATTTTTTCCAAATTTTTCTATAGTAAACTTGAAATCTTTGTATTTTATCATTTATCTTCTTGTATGTACTGCAACTTTCCCAGGCAATTTCTGTGAGGCCCAGCTGCATAGCGTAAAAAATTCAAGATTTATTAGCTAATCCATCACAGAAACATTTTTCAGCATACATTTTCGGTATATTTGTCTCATTTATTTTTATTTTGAATAATACAAATATCAGTTCAAGTAGGACAAGAGATATGGGGAAACTGCTATTTTTAACTCTAGAACGTACAGCATAAGTCTGCCAAATCCAATTTTTGCTTGCTCGGAACTTTCTATTTTTGATATTGTTTTAACTTTGTCACTTGACAAAATAAAACTTATCGGTATTACTATACCTATTCAAACATATTCCTAAATCTCAGAGCTTCAAAATAGGAAAAAGCAAATTCAAAAATATTTATTTGTAAATATTAATTTATATTAGAGATACCCTTTAAGTTATGAGTCTCCCAGATTTTGCTACATTTCGGCATTTCGCTCTACTTTGAATCATGTTTCGCACACCGCGGTGAAAGTACAAAACACGCTCAATTGTTACGCTTTTTGTGAAAGAGACACGAAAATGATATATTCATGTCAGTTCTGGGTTAAGTTGAAAAATGTGTTCTGTTTTCTGTAAATAAAGTCTCTTGTGTCAACACTTAAATGCACAACCGTTGTGACCCTTTTTTAAACTCAGTTACAAATATGTCAAACATATTGTCTTTTATGAGTTTTATGTAAAAGTCATTAACTCGGGATATACCGTCCATTCATTAAACACTACACAAACTACATAAGATAACTAGAAGATTGAAGATAAATGATTCTCGGAAAATGTGATATTCACATGTATATTCGAACCTGGACCCCGAAATAATCGTTTAAACATAATCGTTAAAACTGTGTAACTCTTAAATAAGCGACTTATATTATTCTATTTTACTTTCGAAAGGCTTGCCCAAGCTTCTCGAAAATATATTTTTTTTAATTAATTTTTTTTTAAATTATTGCAAGTACGTAATCTAATTGTATAATAAGATACTCGCACGTCTTGTCGGGGACGTTGCGAGGGTTCGCGCTCTAAATTCTCGATTTATGAGAGTTTGCGACCGTTGCGACGAAAAATTCGGCCGAATTCATAGAAAGCGATAGCCCTTGATGTTTTCGGGGAGAGCCATCGACGATCGGAGCGATCAGCCTTCTGCAGGCTGCAGCGCGCAAATGGTGCCCCTCTCTATGGACAAACAACTGACAGCTGACCCACGCTCGTGTTGGGTTGACCATACTTATGGTTCATCTGCTGACACCGCACCGCGGTGCGTCCTTCCGCGCGAGTTTTTAACGTGGACCAATCTCGCCGCGTCGCCCTTTTTCCGGGATTACAACGGACTTTAGCTGCTTTAATAAGGGCTCGTTATAGCCAAGAAGAATGGAACATTCGATGTCCAACATTTGTTTGATACCCTATTTTGAGAGAGAAAGGAAGAGAGAGAGAGAGAAGCAGATTTAAACAATGGATTATATCTCGTAATAACACAGTTCAATAAAAAATGACTTTTTTAAATAACAGAACGAGACTAGTCATTTTCCATAGTTTTTTGGATGCTAAATACGAATCCAGTTTCCAAATTGTTCCATCACGTCACAATTTTGAGAAATTTGCAATTAAAGTTACAAAAATGGGCTATTTTTACGTAGTTTGTCAATACTGAACGTGTGACCGTGTGAATACTTGCTATCTATTCTAACAGAAAAGAAAATGACACATGATATACATATAATATTTTTTGTATAATTTCACATTTAACAATAATACAAATTAAATTTTTTTTCCATTTCATAATTTCCCAGTCTTGACGTTTTTGAGAGCTATCTCATCGGAGTAATGTATGATATAGAAAAGTTGTGGGCGGGAAAAGTTGTGATAAAATAAG